AAAAAATAAAATTTGCTTTCTTAAAAACTATGTATGCCTTGCATAGCTACTTAAAAATAATTTTTGTTCCCTTTAGCATTTTAATGCAATGTTCATGTTGGCAGCATATGTAATAAAATATTAATAGTGGGCCTTTTGTTACTTTGAGCAAAATACCTGAGAGACTTAGGAAGGAAGGAATAAGGTTGGCTTCAGGTGTTTCTTGGACCCTAGGCAGGCTGATTTTTGGTTTAAGTATCTAGTGTGGCTTGAGAATGGCAGAGATGATCACATAGTGAGCCAGAAGCCTGAACTGCTTGCCTGATCTAATACTGCCTTCTGAGGTTATTCCTCAGTGACCTAAAGAGCTCCCACGAGGCCCATCTTGCAGATGCTGTAGGTAGATAAAATCTTAAACCTTTAATCCATCAACCTTTTAACATTAATCTGTTCACCAGTAACATGAATGAGACTTTGGGGATGAAACATATATATGAGTTTGGGGGACTAAATCACATTCTAACTATAAGAATAGGGCTTCTTTTTAAAAAGTTTTATGAATGAGTTCTTTCTGAAATAAATCTTGCTTGTTCCATGTTTTTGAGTCTTGTTTCTTGACTTTTTTTTTTTGAGGAAGACATAAACCAAACCAATCAAGATCTTTTTTATTCTATGTCCAGTAAAGATTGGTGCACATGAAAATAGGAATAGTTTGTGCATTTTTCCTTTAGGTGATTGATTATATAGGTGTATAATACACATAGGTGTATTTGTGTTGCTTTTAATACACCTGACCAGTAGTGAAGTTATTGTCAGAAAGCAAAAATGTAACATCATAATATTAACTCAAATGTGCTTAGGTTACAGTGACTTATAATTGGTACCCTGGAAATGGCCAAACTGATTTTAGGTCTGTCTGGAAAATCAGGGAGACGATGGAGAGGCCAGTATTTATGGGAAAGAGTGTGTGTGGCAAATACGGAATCTTTTCATATCAGTTCTGACTACAACTCGGAGTGCTTGTCAGTGGGGTGTCAGGTAGCTATTTCTGACTCACTGGAGATTTGGCCTAGATACAGAGTTCCATGAAATATCCCTATTTTCATCACTAGAATGAAAATTTAGGTGCAAACAGTCTTTATTACCAATCAAATTGAATTCAAAGTTGAGAATATAAGGCAATAAATGTAGTAAGAATTACTAAGAGAAAGAAGCAGGTCTTGTTAACCTCATAGAGACATCTTTCCCGTAACTGTAGGAGGCAGTTAGTCATATAGTATGTTCCTGAAATAGTATTTCTGCTCTGTTCATCACCTCACATGGTTGATGCTGAGTTTTTATAGGACAGTATCTCTTTATTCAAGTTTTTATTGCATATTCATTTCAGATGAAAAGCCTGAAAGTGTGATCTTTGCCTTTTTTACATTCTTGTATAAAACTGATGCTTTATTTAAGAAATAATCAATGTTCTTATTCTGTAGGATTTTACGTGTACTTTGACCAAATTGCATATTGCATGGCCAGTCCATATTTTTGTAACAGGAACCTTGTTGCCAACTACTAACAATATAGTCGTCCTTAACTAGTATACTGAAATACTGTGTTTCTCATATAAAAACTGATTTCACTTAAAATAATTTAAAATAATCAATGAAGCTGCAGCATTAAAATACTGATTTGGGGGGCTAGCATTGTGGTGTTGCTGATGAAATCACTGTCTGAAGTGCTGGCATCCCATACAGGCTCTGATTGGAGTCATGGCTGCTTTGCTTCTAATCCATCTTTCTGCTAATGCACCTGGGAAACAGCAGAAGATCCCCCAAATACTTGGGCCACTGCACCCACATGAGTGGCTTGGATGAAGCTCCTGTCTTAGGATTGGTCCAGCCCTGGCCATTGTAACCATCTGAGGAGTGAACCAGTGGATGGAAGATCTCTGTGTGTGTGTCCCCTTTCTCTGTAACTGTCTTTCAAATAAGTTTAAAATATCTACATCATCGTATGAAGCAGCTACGAAGCCTGTAGTGATGAGTATCTCATCTGATTATGACACACATTAAGAATGTATTCAGGACCCTGTTCAGACGCTACCTCCTCAGCAAGACCTTCAGTTCTTCTTGCACAGAATTCACTTCCCTTCTCTGGGTTCCCGTAGCACTTAGATACTAGTCTGCAAGATCCAAGAAAATGGTTTGTGTTTTTATTCTTTTACCCTCAAATCCCTCCCCCACCCTCTTAAAAAGAAGAGCTGTACGTTGCACTTAGCATGGAATGATAGGACCTGTTGCATTCAATAGATTACCCATGTGGACCTTTGAAAAGTCCTCCCATTTTAGATAACTGAACACAATAGTTTTCGCCTGGACATGAACCATATGGGATCCTGGCACTTGCAAGTTGAGGCATTGAGCCATCGTGCTGGGTGTGGTTTTGAGTACTTACATTTTTTTTTAATTTATTTTTTTTAAGATTCATTTATTTTCATTGGAAAGGCAGATTTATAGAGACAGAGAAAAAGATCTTCTATTTGCTGATTCCCTCCCAAGTGGCAGCAATGGCCAGAGCTGAGCCAGTGTGAAGCCAGGAGCTTTCTCCAGGTTTCCCACGTGGGTGCAGGTCCCAAGGCTTTTGGCCCATCCTGTACTGCCTTCCAGGCCAGAGGCAGGGAGCTGGATGGGAAGAGAATCAACCGGGACATGAACTGGCACCACTAGGGGATCTCAGTGCGTGTAAGGTGAGGATTTAACCACTACGCTACCTCACTAGGCCCTGGTTTTCATTACTTTTGATGGCCTAAATAATGTGTAATAATGATGGTGAGGGACTTAGAATGTCCTTTTGATGAATGGCTTTGGAATTTTACATCTTTCAAAGAATATTAGTCTCAAAATAGTGAATATTTATTCTTTAGTTTATTTTGAAATATTGTATTATAGTGTCTCAGTTTCCTAAATGGGTATTTCTACCGTAAGTTTGTTTTTTTAAGATTTGTTTTTATTTGAAAGGCAAATTTTTACAGAGAGGAAAGAGACAGAGAAAGTCTTCTATCCACTGATTCACTTTCTAAATGGCCGTAATAGCCAGAGCTGAAGTGTTCTGAAGCTAGATGCCAAGAGCTTCTTTCAGGTCTCCCATGTGGGTGCAGGGGCCAGAGAACTTGGACCACTCCCCCACTGCTTTCCCAGGCTGTGAGCAGAAAGCTGGCTTGGAAGTGGAGCAGGTGGAACATCAATCAGTGACCATATGGCTGGCACCACAGGGCAGAGGGATTGGCATGCTGCACCACTGTGTCAACCCCTGTTGCATAGCTTTGTTTTCTGTATGGATTTCACTTTGCTTCTTTCCTTTTGTCTGTGTTAATATGTGTTCAGTTTCTGGGACCATTTAGAATAGCAGGAGTGGGTAATGTCTCACCTGCAGGCCATGTAGGAAATCATTTGTTCTGGCATTCACAAGTAGGACTTGAAATTTAATACATTTGTAGCAGGCTAATTTTTAAGTTGATAAGTTTTCATGGCCTGTAAATGATGACATAGCTACCTGCATGACCCTTGGCAAGAGTTAAGGTTCCCCATCTCTGTCTTAGAAGCAGGCCTGCATCAGATTGCATTGCTAGTCTCAGAGTTCCTTTTCCCCATGTGGGTGCCTTGCAGGTGTGTGGGGTTTGCTCTCCTCTGAACCTGCTCTTCCCTTTGTCTCTGCTATTCATTCCTGCCTATGCTTGGCCCCATGCCCGGCAGTTTCTGTGCAGTGTGGGCCCTGCTTGGGATGTGCACCAGGACTAGATTTCTCCAGGACCCTCGCCTAACCTGCCTCACCCTCACCAAGTACTAGAATAGGCTGATACCTTCTGGCTTCAGCAGCTCCCTCAGGGTGGCCCCCTGCCATTTCAAGCAAATACAAATAGGCTGTTTGGGGTTCTGTCCTCAATTCAGCTCTGGTTTCTCTCTGCTTTCTCCAGCAGACGCTGATGATATGTGATTCTTGAGGTGATATGTGATTCTTGAGGCTATCTAGTGGCTGATGGGGTTACTTTTCCACTTCATTATTTGTGAATGTTTCTCATGGGTTTTGGACTTGCTCTCTGTTTTCATGTGGGGAATCAGGATGATCCAACACTTCTGTGTCTGTCCTAGAAATCCAGATACACTTAAGTTATAAGTCGACGTGGAAAGTGACTGGCAAGAAGTCAGATGGCTGGTTTTGGGTAAATAGATTTACAAACTGTATTTAAGAACAGGAGTCGTATTTGTTCTATAAAAGTTGGAAAAGAGCTAAGCAGTCATTCATTGCTTCTTGTAAAAAGATTTCTTTACCAGGAAAAAGTTACAGGGGAAAAAAAAAAAAGAACTTGAAGAAAAATACCTTAGCTGATAGTGTTGAAAGCAGTTTCTGTTTCTGGCGCTGTGTAAGCTCCTACTTCTAGCACAGGGACATGCTGTGTTGGCATGGGTGTGTTACCTCTTTCTGCTTCCCTGGCTCTGTTCTGGATTTTATACACAGATTGGGTCTTGTAAATCATCAGAGCGTTACATGAATTACCATTCATTGTTCAGACTTGATATTAACAAAAAAAAAATTACTGAATGATGTTTATCCTTATTTTTTAAAAAAATAGTAATAACATTTAAAATTTATTCTGAAGAGCTCCATGAAGTAGCCTATTTACTAAGGGCCAGTTGGCTTAGTTTCAGTTATAAAAGGCAATAGTGTTGAAATATCTGCTTCAAGTTCTCTTATACGCAGCATACTTTGCAAGTACAGTATTTTAGATGGATTAACGTCATGAGAGTGATCCTGGATTTTGAAACGTGACTTCCAATGTACAAGGTTCTGTTTTTTGCCACACAGAATTTCAGCCATTTGCTTGAGTGATATATAAGAAGATAAAACAAAACAAAACAAACCACGGAACTATTTAAACTTTAAAAATGAGAAGAAATTGAACAAGTTACAAATGAGACATTGTTCTGTACTGTGAATATATATTCTCTTTTTTTTCCCCTCATGTTTCTTTTAAGGTCTCAACCAATTTCTTCTCCAGTCATTCTCCAGTTTGGTCATGCAGAAACTCTTCTACCACTGCTTTCTCTCATGGGCTACTTCAAAGACAAGGAACCCCTGACAGCTTATAATTATAAGGAACAAATGCACCGGAAGTTCCGAAGTGGCCACATTGTACCTTACGCCTCGAACCTGATCTTTGTGCTTTACCATTGTGAGAATGCTAAGACTCCTAAAGAAGAATTCCAAGTGCAGATGTTACTGAATGAAAAGGTGTTACCCTTGGCTCACTCGCAGGAGACTGCTTCTTTGTATGAAGATCTGAAGAACCATTATAAGGACATCCTTCAGGGTTGTCAGAACAGTGAAGAATGTGAATTACCGAAGGTGAACAGCACATCTGATGAGCTGTGAGCAACTGAAGAAAACTTGTAAATCTTAAGCAAACTGTAGGGGTGATTACATGCTTAAGAGGTAGGCAATCCGTTGATTGCAAAAAGCTTTCACATTTTTTTCCATAGAAAAAAATTGGGGGAGGGTGTCTGGACAATATATGTAAGAAATGATTCTTCACTGGAGCAGCTCTTTTAAGGGGAAACATATCTGTCCCAGGCAACAGCTGGCACTGCAGATGTTAACAGAAATAAAATTCTTCCTGCTTACATAGGAAACCTCACACTGAGATAAATTGTGATTTCAAATGATACTTGAAAAAAACCTTTAGTAGCAAAGTAAAATGCTAATTTGCAACTGGTCACGTGGTTGAACTGAACCTGGGGACTTTACCAAATGTGCTACAGTTTGCATTTTCCCCTCAGGTAGGACAGTTGCAGTATTAATTGTCTTTATTATTCAGAAATATTTTGATTATAAGCATAGCATCACTTGGGAAGAAAACATTTTTGTAGATGAGAATTTGAAACTATTATAAAACAGTCTGATTTCAAGATATGTTCACTGAAGCAAGATAAAAAATATTTTTGTTGCTACTATTTATAAAATACTGCGGTACTTTTTCAGTTATTTCCTTAAGCTTCTAGTAAGTCTTGAAAAGTTGTCATAGATTACCATACAGCTTTTACATATATAGCAATGGAAGGACCAACAGAACCAGTAACAAGTCAGATGGATGGAATGAAAACTTTTAAAATTGTTGCTTAGCTATCTTGTTATCACATTGCTCTCTGGCTTTGTATTTTGTTATATGAGATGTATTTTTGGTTGGTTGGGGATTTTTTTTTCCAATAAAAACTTCATTATGGCTTGCTTTGTTTTCATGAAATTGAGCCTATTTTGAAGAAATAGTTGAGTTGTGTCAAATACCATGAGATCTGTTTGCTGTAATAAAATTCTTATGACTTTACTTACCAGAGTTTTTTTTTCTTCCTTTTTTTTTTTTACTGTTCTTGTTACATTTTAAACAGTAAAGGGTTAGAATTTCAAGTAACTACTCAACAATTTCCTCAAATAAATGGATTATAGATAATCCATTTAATTTTAATTCGTGACCACTTAAACTTAATCTTTTAACTTTTATTTTATTTGGAAGGTACAGTTACAGAGAGAGAAGGAATGAGAGAGATCTTCTATTACTTATTGACTCCCCAAATGGCTGCAATAGTCAGAGCTAAACCGAAGTGGAGCCAGGAGCCAGGAGCTTTTTCCAGTCTGCCGTGTGGGTGCAGGGGCACAAGTCCTTGTGTCTTCCTCTGCTGCTTTCCCAGACACATTATTAACAGAGAGCTAATCAAAAGAAGTAAGAGGAAGTGGAACAGCTAGCATTTGAACTGGCACCTATGTGCTATGTCACTTGGAGGTGACAGCTTTACCTGCTATGCCACAATGACAGTGCCCATTGTCGCTGTGAAGATCGTGTATTTAAGGAGCTATTTAGGATTTTTGCTTAAAAACATGATTATTCTTACCAAATAATATGCAGTGAAATCCATTTGCTAGAATCTACTGCAGGAGTTTTTCCGTAGTTTACTCTTGATTGGCCAGCCCATAGGAAAATAAACAAACTAATTGTGTGTGTGTGTGTGTGTGTGTGTGTATGTGTAAATTACCATAACCAGGATTAGGATACTCTACCAAATTTCAGGTGTAAAAAATGAAAAATTTCTTTTCAGCTTCAATAAAAATCAAAATGAAATAGGATTATTTGTGGTCCTGAGAGTTAAAATGTTTTCTGGATGATGTTTAATCAGTTTATTATGTACTTTTTTTTTTATTTTTGTGGCTTTTTTTCTTAGTGATATTATTTACAGATTTAAGGTTAATATTTTTCACATGTTGATACTTTTTTTTTCTGTTGATCATAAAACCTTGTTGCATTCATTCTTGCAAAATAAGACTGGAATACCTTTAAAATTTCATTTGCTGTGGAGTTTATGTGACTTTGCTAATACCTTTTTGAACAGATCTGTAATTCTGGTAGCACTAATCAGTGAGTAAAAGATTCATGGTGGTCCTGGTACTGTAGCCTAGTGGCTAAAGTACTTGCCTTGCATTCACCAGGATTCCATATGGGCACTGGTTCATGTCCCAGTTGCTCCATTCCCTTCCAGCTCCCTGCTTGTGGCTGGGGAAAGCAGTACAGAATGGCCTAAGGCCTTGAGACCTGCACCCATGTGGGAAATCTGGAAGAAGCTCCTGGCCCCTGGCTTCGGATGGGCTCAGCTCCAGCTGCTGTGGCAACTTGGGGAGTAAACTAGTGGATGGAAGATCTTTCTCTCTGTCTCTCCTCCTCTCTGTAAATCTGCCTTTCCAATAAAAATAAATAAAACAAAACAAAAAAACCCAAAAAAGGAAGACTCTTGGCAAGGGCAGACATTTGATACAGAGGTTAGCACTGTGGTGGAGTTGGTCACGTCCCACGTGGGCATGTGCCTGATTGCACACCAGCCTCTGCTCCTGGTTGCAGCTCTCTGCTAATGTGGATCCTGGTAGAAAGTGCTGATGGCTCATGTGGACTGGGCTGCTGCTACTCAACTGGGAGTTCCTGGCTTCAGCTCCACCAAGTCCTCGCAGGGGTCTGTTGGGACATTTGGGGAGTGAGCCAGCAGATTGGAGTCCGCCGTTGCTTTCTGTCTCTCAAAATTCTACATTTTTAAAAATCAAGAGATAAGCTACATTTAAAGATTGCAGTATATTCAAGGATATTTCAAAAAGTATGGGAAATGGAATTAAAAATTTATTGTGATGGGCCTAGCGCAATGATGCAACTGACTAATCTTCTTCAAGCCTCTGGATCTCATATAAGCCAGGGACTCTGCATCCATGTAGGAGACCCGAAGGAGGCTCCTGACTCCTGGGTATGGATAAGCTCAGCTCCAGCCGTTACAGCCACTGGGGGAGTGAACCAGCAGATGGAAGAGCTCTCTCTATTCTCTGTAGATACGACTTTCCAATAAATATAAAATAAATCTTAAAAAAAAGTGAATGAGCATAGTTCTTTTATTAGAAGAGGTTTTCTTCAAAGAACTTAAATTTATAGGGTGTGTGACATTTTAACTGATTTATATCCACTCCTTGAATACTTTATAAAAAGACCACATAAGTTTTATAAAAATTGATTTAATGATTGAATAAGATCATACAGTGATCTTTGATTGTATAAAGACGTGTGATACAATAAGATAGTTCAGGATTGGGGAAGTAAGTATGCCCCCCTTCTGCTAGTGGTGCAAAGGTGGTAATATTACACTGGTACTGTGATTCATATTTAGGAAATGGCTGAAAATGAAGAATCTCATGATGAAAATGTGATCTTACCCAGGATATGAAGAGATGAACTTTGAGAAATGGTTTTTGCCGAAGAAGGATTTTTTTCATAATAGCTGGCCAAATTGCCCAATTAAGGCAATATTTGATCCTTTTTGTTTGTGATATTTTGGTTCATTGCTTAATGTCTGCTGCCATTAGGTGTTTTTCTGTCTAATCTGCGACTTGATGTGTGCATGATATTGTACTTAGTTCATTCTGATTATATCTCTTTGAAGCTTCTGCTATCACACACTCACTTGATAACGTCTTTTTAAATAGTCTTGAACTTAATTTTAACACTGAAAACAAAAATCAATGTGTAAAGAAAAAACGGCTTTGTTTTTTCAGGCGTAATCAACCTTTGCAATAACTCCGAGTGCTTTTCTTTTCCAGCTGCATAACCGATGCCTGTTTTCTGAGGTTTATGAGTTACACACAGCTCAACTAATACATCAAGTATAAATCTTGGGTGCACATTTCTCCAACATGGCATTTCATGTGGTTCATTAATGATCCTTAAAATTTGACTGCCTTTTGCCAACTGTGAGCTAAAACACTGCTATATGATTTGCTCATATCTGGCTTTTGTCTTGAATTTGTATCACAGGATTCTCAGTTCTCTAACCATTCTTTTTGTCTCACACATTTTCTTCCACTCACCTGGGAATCTGTTCTACTCTTAAACTTCTTCTCAACCTGGTCAGCTTTTTTTTTCCTTCTCTCTGTAAGATTTATTTGAAAAATTTATGTAGAGAAGGAGAGAGATCTCCCCATCTGTTAGTTCTCTCTCCAAAGGGCCACAATGCAAGGAGCTGAGCCAGTCTGAATCTGGAAGCCAGGACCTTTCTTTGGGTCTCATGTGGGTGCAGGGGCCCAAGAACTTGAGCCATCCTCTGGTGCTTTCCTGTGCTATAAGCAGGGAGTTGGATTGGAAGCAGTTAGGACCGGAACAGAAGCTCATATAGGATGCTGGCACTTTAGGCGGAGGATTAGCTGGCTGCTTCAATCTGCCAGGAAAAAAAAAAGTCTGTGTTTGTGTTTATGAATGGTTTTGTATGATGGTTTCACTGCATGAAAAGCTGGTAACTTGGCAGGTTAACTTAAAATTTCGAATGTTTTATCGCCATTGAACTAATACATCTTAATATAAAAGTGTTCTGAATTTTATTTTTAAAATTAGTGTTCATTCAAGATTTTCCAGGTACTGTATTCCCAAATATCAAGCCATTCAAACCCAAACAGTTTAGGTTTACACTTTGTGGTACTAGTACAACAAATATGTGTTCACTATAATACAGCTTTCTGATTTGGAGAACACTCCTGATATCATAACAAAGCTTAATTTATAATATTCATTTTACATTATTCCTAAAATAACTAGTGTAAGAAGTTAAGTTAGTATGACAATATGGATTTGTCTTTCCTTTTTTTAAGACTTTATCCTACCAAATTTGATTCTGTGTGTATCTTTGTTGGACATTGAACAGTGGTGGGTGCTTGTGGAAACTTCCAAAAAATTCTTTTGGGAGAAATTGTATGATGTAGATTACTTAAGTGTATTTTGGTGAAACACGTGTAAGAATACATGTAAACAAAAAAGCTCATTAGAGACTTTTTTTTTTGCTCTAATGAGCATTGCTGACCTTGTAAGGCCCATTATTTTCTTTTCCTTATATTTTCCCCCTATTTCTTGCCTTCTTGAGAGAGCAGGAAGAGCAGTCTTGGTGTGACATAACGATGCTTGTTTTTAGTGTGAAGTGTTGCTCCCCTTATACAGATAAGGATGGGAACCTGGTTTTCTATTTTATGTTTTCAGTTATAGTTTGTAGTCTCCTTAATCTACCAAAATGCTACTGACAGTGGAGGAAACAAAACAAAAAAGTGGAATCTCACAGCTTCTCTTGCTGCTTCAGTATGGTGTTACTGAAAAGAGAAACTGAGATCCTTGGCACAAGACATTGAAAAAGTGGAATAGAAGCCAGCAGCCTTTTGCTGTTCCCTTGCTAACCTTATGCGTAGCTCACAGATTGAGATGCACATTCCTTCCATGAGTCTGGCTGAAAGGCTTCAGGTTTCTGTAGCAAGGAAAATGTGATAGCGTTGGCAACCCTGTGGCATTTTTCATAGAGATGCTTCTTTTTGCCTCAGTCACCTCGTGAGGTACGTGGGTCAGTAGTACTTGCTTTTCAAGTCTGGCTGCTGTCAGCTTAGCTCTTGAAAATAGCTAGAAGCGTGACTAGAAGACTCCTCCAGTCCCTTGACCTACCTGATGTTTCAAAGCACTGATTTAACAGATCTGAAAACTCTTCTATTTTATATATTTTATAAGCACCTTTATAGATCTGACTGCATGGACACTTAGCTATTTACTCAAAGAAGGGTGTCTAAAGTCCAAGCTTAAGAGAAAGACCATGTCCCTTACGAAGCAAAATGTAAGAGTGCTTTGTAATTCTCAGTCCTCAACAGTGTATCTAATGTGAATTAGGTTATCTGTAAGTCATGTGTATTAATTAGTCATTGTTACTGGGGAATTACTGTAGATGATGTACTGTTACCTGTTATCCCACTTAACCTTCATAGAATTATGAAGTCAGGAGT